CCTACGAGGAGAGACTAGAGAAACTGGATCTATTCAGCCTCCGCAAGAGAAGGTTGAGAGGTGACCTTGTGGCTGCCTATAAGTTCATCACGGGGGCACAGAAGGGAATTGGTGAGTATTTATTCACCAAGGCGCCCCCAGGGGTTACAAGAAATAATGGCCACAAGCTAGCAGAGAGCAGATTTAGACTGGACATTAGGAAGAACTTCTTCACAGTTAGAGTGGCCAAGGTCTGGAACGGGCTCCCAAGGGAGGTGGTGCTCTCCCCTACCCTGGGGGTCTTCAAGAGGAGGTTAGATGAGTATCTAGCTGGGGTCATCTAGACCTAGCACTCTTTCTTGCTTATGCAGGGGGTCAGACTCGATGATCTGTTGAGGTCCCTTCCGACCCTAACATCTATGAATCTATGAATCTATGGTGCTGGTTCCTACCTTGGGGGTCTTTAAGAGGAGGCTTGATGATTACCTAGCTGGGGTCATTTGAGCCCGGTATTCTCTCCTGTCCAGGCCAGGGGGTCGGACTAGAAGATCTACTTAGGTCCCTTCCGACCCTACCAACTATGAATCTATGAATCTTTTAAGTTAAATTCTCTCTTCTCCCTGTTCCTTCTTGACTGGGTGATTCTGTCAGGGCCCATGGGTTATTAATATTAAGTCTAAAATGAGCTAGCACCTGAAAACAAGTTTGTAATTAGAGGGAAACTGTTACTATTTGATTGCTTGAAGTTCTGTGTAGTTCAAATCTCCAAACACCCAAAATAAGGGCAAAGTCAAAATGTGAATATATAGGAGGAGATACATTGGCTGTTATACTTATAGTTCTCAATACAGTCTGGCAGCATTGAGTGGTGATGAGGTGTGAAGTCACTTTATAAAGAGGGAAAGCTAGCATTCTAGTTGCTCTCTGATTTACAGAGTGATCCCATTGTCTGCTGAGCTAAACGTTGAAAAACACTTCAAGCATTTCTGCTGCAGAAAGAATAATGTGGGACAGGACCCCATGCATTCTCAGGTACTGATATAGAGTTAGAGCCATGGTAAATGCATAGGGCTTAGGTCAGCTTCATAATTAGTGCTTATATTTAGGAATTTATTTCATACTCAAATAGACCTAAAAATTCCAAGAGAATCTACAGAGTTTGGCCCAGCTCTTTATCACAACCATTCTCAACTAGTGAGCTTTGTATTATTTTAACCGAATGCTATACGTCAACCTCTGTTCAGATACAGCCTAGCAAAGCTTCACAGACATCGCCATGAATTCAGCAAGTGTCTCAGGTTTATAAGGAAACCTAAAAACAGAGGATTCCATCTCACATTTTCAAACAGTTTTCCCTCAACAGTCATGCAGGCCAACATTTTCAAAAGTAAGTGCCTACAGATTAGCTATCATCAGTTTTTAGGTCCTTAAGTAAAAGTGACTCATTTTCTAGAACTAACCACTTCCCTAGGAACTGCAAGTGTTCAAAACCTGTGAAAGGCAGTACACTTTCCACAAAGAGAGACCCCTGGCATGCATTAAAATTATGGTGAGATCAATGTATAATTCACACCATAAATAGTAACAGTGCTACATGTTCTGCCAATTTTTGGCACTATGAAGAGGCAAACCAGACACAAAGATTCCAATTGTCAGCATCACTGTGAGGACAGGGTTAGCATCAGGACCAGGACAGCCCTAGTCCCAATGCCAAAAACAGGTTGCTGGGGGAGTAGATTGCAAGGTTCCAGCGGAGGGGCTCCAGCAGCTGCAAACCTGAAACAGCCTAAACCTGGCAGCTTTTCCCACCTTGCCATTCAGCAACCACTTCCCTCCCTCCCTTCCCCACCCCTGCTATGGCAGGAGGCACAAAATTTGGGATGGGGCATAAAATTCCTGTGATCCTAATCACATCATTGTTTTAACATCTGCCAGGGACCTAACATTCACCATGTTTGTGAGTGTTTTTCCCTAGATACCAAGATGACAGATACCTGTAAGTACTGTGGATATACACAAAAATCCCATCTAGACAGAGAATAAGGAACATAGGTCTAGAAGAGAAGTCTTGGGCCAACAAGTCCAGTCCCCTGCTACTGCAGACAACACATCATATGATCCCTTTTAAATTTCAAAGCACCAGAGCGACTTGGACACAGTCTTTTAATAGAAATAATGTTCTCAAATCACACCAATGTTTTTGAAAATCCCACCCAGTCTCCAGCATTAGCAAAACACCTCTTTGACCACTGGACTAAGTCATTCCCCACTTAACATGGTGAGGTAGCTGAAGATATCATGAGTGGCAGAATCTCTCACTGGAGCAAATGAACTAAAATTTTTCTATAACTCATCCTAAGGGTTTAGACATGTCTCTCAGCAGGGCAGTGGTTTGTCAGCTCATTCTCTTGGCTTTCTTAACACTTGTTTTTTATTTGAAATAGTAAAGCTGTGGTAGGATTAGAAGAGAGGTGGTTAAGGGGGAGCAGGGGCAGAGAGAGAAGCTAGATAAAGAGGAAATGCAAATCAGCTAGAACAGTGATGTTCAACCTTTTGGCCCCACAGTGGTCTGGGCCGGCCTGCAGGTGAGGTCCCATGGGTGGGTCAGTCTGTGAACTCAATCTAACAGTTTGAAGAAATGCTTCATAGATGGACTGAAGCAGGTAGTCAAATGTTCTGCTGAATAGGGACCTATGTTTGGAGTTACCACTGGTTTGGCAGCCTAGATTACAATGTGTTGTGTAAAGTGTGGCAGGCCTTCATGCAAACACCACCCTACCTGGAGAGAAGGGAACAGCACCCTGCTGTTCGGTGACCTTCATGAACTTCTCTCAAGTAACACATTCTTTTTGGGAGGATCCTCTGTGCTAATAGCAACGTAGCTGCTGTTATGATCATTTGACGATTCATTTCATTCATTACAATGGATACCCCCAGCTTCATTTCAGCATTTTGCTTTGGCAGTTGAGCCTGCTGCAGCCTGTTGTGGCTAAATTACAGAGGTGCCCTACTCAGGCCAAAGATTAGAGATTTCTATGGTGAACTTTAGGCAGATTATCCAGTACTGAGGAAGCATTAAAATATGTATTGAAAAAGACCAATTAAATTTGGAATTACTACTGGTTACCACTGATTGAGGTCTGTGCACAAGCACAATCCAGCGTGCTGTTTTGGCCCCAGATGCCAGATCCAACTGCAGAGCAGCCCTGGGTACTGACATGATCTGGTGCCATGTCAGCCCATTTGCAGAACTCCCCAGAGGTCTGGAAATTTGGCAATGGGAAGTGGTGGCAGCTGCAGCAGTTAATGGTGCTAACATTCCCCCCACTGCCAAATTTCAGGACCTATGGCAAACCCCACAGGCTGGATTTGGTCCACAGGCCAGAGGTTGAGCACCACTGAGCTAAAAGATAGCAGCAAGGACAGATGGTGAAAACCTAACCAGAAGGAGAACCACTTACACTATTGTCCAAGTCTTCAGTCTTGATGAAGGTACTGTCTGAAGGACTTTCGATGGAAACCTCATGAGGGGCAGGAACATTAGCAGCTGCATCTAGGAGAAGAGGAAGCAATATTTTTTTTTTAAATACTACATACAAATAAACATGCAGAGAGTATAATATGCTGACAATACCTGTTCCCACAACCATCACAGAAAGTGCCCGAATCATTCCTTACTTCCTTGTCCATCATAACACCATAATTTTGGTTCACTGGTGCTTGAGGAATTGCAGCTTACAAAGTAATCTGGTGGAACCCACAAACAGTGATTTGGTTCAAGTGTAACATAGAATATCAGTAGCTGAATAGGGAACTGAACCTGTGTTGCCAAAGCTAGCACCACCTGAGCACCTTTACCATTTAGCCATTCTTCCTTCTCCTAGAGGAATCATTTGATAGGGTGAAAGTAAAAGTCAGAACTACGCAATTACTATTACCCTACGAGAAAATTATATTTTATAATATCAAATCAAAGGTATTGAAAAGGGTCTGGAAACAATTTTAAATCAATATCTTTTGAAATCAGTATCTTTTGATATTTATTCAAGCACATATTAATCATTGATACTACTGCTTGTATTACAGCAGCATCTACAGGACCTTTGTATTGTAGTGTCAAGTATGAACTTGAAATAAAAGGATCCAAGTCTACCTAAACATTCCTCCGTGCCATCAAGTTTCCTAAACAAGAATGTTGTAATAATTTAGGACACTAATCTTCACATCACTTGGATGTATAGATATGCATATGCAAACAGATGAAGACAAACCTCTCAAAGTGGTAGCATCATCAGCTGGAGAAGCTGTTGGCGTTCCAGAGCTGAAAAACGAAGACAAAAACAAGATGAAATTAAAAGTCACATGGTGAGTGTTATTTTCTTAATCTGCTTATGGTGCCATCACAAAAGGTACAGAAGCAGAATAAATCTCCCAGTGCATTATTTTGCTGCCAATGTACACTAAGTAGACTTTGCAACAAAACAGAATTGTCAGTAAACACTTGAGTATCAAATCCTTTGCATCTGCACAATACTTATCATACCGGCATTTAGACAGCTTTGCAACACAGCTTTGTGTTACATCATCAGCCAACATTGCTTTCCTCACAGTCTCATTAGTTTTGAAAGAGGGTTTGGTCATAGATTCAAACTCTGGCCTCAGTTACAACAGCGCAAAATCAGTATGATCAATAACAATGAAATTTTGCTTTTTGGGAAATTATGTTAAGATGCTGCCTCAGTGATATTTAACACCCAAGAAACGTCCAGAAGAGATTGCAGCAAGCAACAGATGTTGCATTTGTTCAGGGACAAGTTTTACCTGTGCTTGTTCTGGAACAAAAAAGTCCCAGGATTGGCATTCATACACATCCCCCTTCTAATTAGGGTTTTGTTAGCAGCTGAATGCACTGTGGCTTTTCTACCATTGATTCAGTGATGCAGTCCAATGACATCCATTCAGATGTACTTCACAATGTCCAAGGAAAAACTGTTAGCACTTCTTATTCCATTAACCTTTTAGGGTTTGTTCCAGGATAATGGACATGGACATCTGAACAACTGCACGTTCTCCTGGGATAAAAAAGGGTTCTCCCACGACAAACACAATGTTTGTTTGTAGTTTAAGATAAACATAACAATGGGACAGCAGATTGAACAAGTAGGTTGTCAGCTCCTGGCAAAAGAGTTGGGAGTCCAGGAGAGGAGCTTTGGTGCTCAGGGCCCAGGAAAAGACTAGAAAGAGAACAATAGTGAAGTCTTTGAAGGTGCTGTGTAGGCTGTCCTGGGGACAGAGGAACTGCTTAATATCAACATCTGAAATCAGGAAGAGAACCTCTCACTGGGTGGTGGCCTTTGCCCAATAAATGCTTTTACTGAAACAGCACTGTTTGCTCTTCAGGTTGCACTTGGTGTCCCCAGCAAGAGGTAAAGTCCCTCTCTCAGGAGTAGAATTGGATGTTAGCTCCTTGAGTCAAGACCATAGTGAACTCTGGAGGGTCAGAGACTGAAGGCCAGGATCTCACAAGTGGCAGGGACCCTGCGGTCCCCAACAGTGTTAAAAGCCATGCTTGGACTGGCTTCAGGAGGGCAGAGGGGTCACTCTTAGAGACCAGATGAGGCTGTTGCATTTCTGAGCAAGGGCTCCCCTCAACTTCATAGGAAACATTTTAATAGCCTCCTTTTATGACAAAGGCCTGTATTTCAAAATATCTAAAAAGATCTGAATACTCGAAATCCTCAGTGGAGCAATGGGAACGAACAACTCCTGAAAATTAAGCCTTAAAGTATACAAATGCTTTGGATGCAAGCTGCAAGACATCTGCAAGATGTAACCAACCTCCTTGAGACTATCCCATTGCCCTTAACTTCAGCTGACTTGATTTACAACATCAATTGCCTGTAGTCATTTAACATCTTTTCAGAAGATGCAAGAAGTTATAGCAGGCAGAGACAAAATGAAAACTTCAGCAACATTCTGTCATCTCACTGGGACAGTCTGCAGCCTCTGCTGTGAATGCTACCTCCTAAACTAGAAGTAACGTGGCCACAGTAGCGCAGCTCTGCATTATACCAATAAGCTCTGCTTTTCAGCAGAAAAACAAATATCAGAACTGGACTGAAAGAAGAAGTCTCTATTTAGTCTTCTGTCCCAGGGATGGGATTTTTTGGGGAGAGGTTGGGAGGAGGAGAGAGAAGGGGGAGCCGACTACGTTAAATTTATCATTTTCATCTGAGTTCCATATTCCATTTAACTGTGAAACAAAGTTTGGTCAGTTTTAGGCAATATAGAACATCTAAAAATCACCCCAAGCCAGATGAGATTAAATGAAAATTTTTCATTATGAAGAGAAACTAGCAAGTTTTACCAGGCTATGGTTGTAACCTGCAACCTGGCAGTTGAGGGTATATTCTGTAACTTGCAGGATGAGTCCATTGGTGAACATAAGGATGTTTGATTGATAGGTAAGTTTTGTTGTTGTTGGCTTTTTTCTGAGCGGTTAAGAGAGAAAAACTACAGCAAATTGGCATGATTACACTAAAAGCCCTGAATAGTAGTGTGACAATGCGGCAGGGTGTCCATGGTGGCTGCTGCACACACGGCCATCAGCAACTTGCAGCTGCAATTGCAGTTGCTGCTGCTACCACAATCATAATCACGCGACTGTGACAAAAACTGGGTTTTTTCTCCTACCCATGTTGGCACCTGGGACAGTTGCTTCTGTGGCCCGGCCCTAGTTACTTTACTGCTTCTGAAGATCAACTGAACACTGAAGTGGAAGTCACCAATATTGCGACTATTATTGTGTCTCAGTACTCCTCTCCTAATTAACCATATATTCTTCCTGCATTGATTGTAATAGATGAGCCACAGAAGAAACACTACAGCAGAAAGACCTCATCATCTTAGAATCAAACCTTGTGGCAGATGTGATATCTTTTATTAGAACATCTAGATATTTGCACAAAAAAAATTATTTGCAAACTTTTGGGTACAGGCACCCTTCATCAGGCATAGGAGACTGCAAAGATTGTAAAAGTTCTCCATGGTAGAAATGAAAATTCATATTTTCATTCATCATCTTTCATTCATCATCTTGGTGCACTTATAAGAGGTGTACAAAATCACCTGAGCCATTTTTACCCTGATCATGTATAATTGAGAAAATCCCCTTCAATCCAAAATACTTGCATTTCAAACATGTGAATTTTGGTGCTTTTTAGGCTAAGTACAGACAGTCAAAAAGCCCAAGGCTGAATTGATTCCGTTTTTGCAGGTTAGTGTAAACTTAGCAGATTGAACTGATAAGTAAGTGAACAGACGTTCACTTTTGATTCTGGAGATGCAGCCACATGCCTGCAGTGCCCCCAGGCCAGACGCCAGAGGGTGCTAGAGCATGCTTCCTTCCTCATCTGGAGCAGACAGCTTGGGCCAAGGCTAGCCCACCCACCCTGAGAAGAGGGAGTTTTCAGAGGAAGTTCAAAGCATCCTGGGATGCTGGGGGACTGTGAGTTAATTTGAATCTGGAGGGGATCTGGAACAGAACTTCAATAAACTGATTGAACCTAAATCAGTTAAGTCTGATATTACATCTCCCTTTAATTTTTAACCTTTTTGTTGGAGAAGATAATGTTGAAAATATAAAATTGACATAAATAGATTATTAGAGTTTAAAAATCATGCATCTGGCCTCCACATCCATAGCTGGAGAAGGAGCAAATTATCTAAAGGTACTCCCTCTTTTCCTCTGTTTTCCCTCCCTCCCATCATACAAAATGAATTGGCTGTTTACTCTGAATCCTTTGTTCAGTCCAGGATAAGTGATGTAATAATATTCAATTAGAGGGAAGTGCCAAAATAATTGTTTTTCTATCTGGTCAAAATGCTAAGGTTGGCACTGGGAATATCATGTTAATCAATAATGTTTTGCTTTGTTAAAACTAAATTACCTTCCTTTATAAATAAACTTATGAGCCTCAGAAACCCCCACACAGAGTGAAGAGGTGAGACACAGCTGTTCATTTTTGTAGCCATCACCTGCTTCTAAACTGCAGCAGGCTGAGGAACTATTGCCACTAGCTTTAGGCTCAGTAAAAGTCATCACTGAAATTCGCATTAGTGAATATTACTAAAATATTACCTTGTCTGCCTAAAATATTGTGAAGTGTTTAAGGTCATCAGTTAATGCACAGCACAGACCTGTGGATACCAGTCCACAAAATTATTCCACAAAAAGATGAAGTAAAATATTCTAGGGGATGAAACAATCAGTTGCAGTTGTTAAACTGTTAATTTTAACAGATCTGTAACAGAGGAAAGAGTTGAAGGGATGCCTAAATTAGATACAATTCTTCTGATAGAGTAGAAGAGGAATTACTATAAACAGCCCACAGGTGACAATGGTGGTTATATAACAACCAAATGTTCTTGTTCTTGTTATGGACACAGGCCAAAGTTCATATGTCATGATCCAGAGATTTTAAAAGATGTAAGGTCACATATGGAAGTTTTCAAACTTTTTACTGGCATTTTTTTATTCTTGAAAAGCTAAACAGCAAGGGTCCAAAATCTGGAATGTGAGCATATCAACACGATTCCAGTGAGATTTACCTGGAGTGATTAAAGACAAGGGGAAAATATGTAACAGGGAGTTTATCCTACAAAAGTGCTTTCTTTTTCTCTTCATGGAATGTCAGCAAACACATTGTAAATAATTTCACATTTACATTACTTTACATTTTAAATTGTGGCTATTTAGTTGCTTCCTATTCAACATCTGAAGTTGGAACCATTTTTCTGTGTTATTAATTGGACAGAAGATACGTTAGGTTTCCTGTCTATTTGTATAGGTCCTGAGTTCCTGGTTTCAGTGGATATTGGCTAAGTCTATCATCAGATTTTTATCCAGTTCAGACAGCTATCACCACAATATCTTAGTGTCATATTTATGATTTATCTTCACAGACATTATTTTTTTCAAAAGTATAATAACCCAAAAACTAAAAATGCACCTTCCCCAGTAAAATGTACACACAAAAATACAGATAAAACAAAGACAAAAGATGTGCAAACCCTACTAAAGCAAATCTATGCCAGCACACCATTATAACATTCTGCTGATTTGGAAGGTCCTTCTACTCAAGAAGCTCAAAGCTCTTTCCCAATATGGTAAACCCTCGCTTCATCCCCATTACTGAAATGAAACAGGGGCAATTGACTTAATCATGGTTACAAGATAAGGCAGTGGCATAGCAAGGTTAAGATTCCAAGTTTTGTACATAAACACAACACACTAGATCAGCAGTGCTCCACCCATGCCCC